CTAGAAGCGATGGCCTCCAACCTAGAAGCAATGGCCTCCAACCTAGAGGCGATGGCCTCCAACCTAATCTGGTAATGTAGACTGTTGTTCCCTATGAATCCACTGGCACCGAACCAGGTCGGTACGGTGAGGGCTTGGAGACTATTTTATGTATGCGCTAGGGGAGGTGGCCCAGTCATGCCGAACCTGAGGTTTGGTGGCAGTGGATCCATAGGGGGGTGCTGGGAGCTCCGATTTCGGAAGACAACAACTTCTGGAGACCAAAAGGAACCGCTCGAGGGTGTTGCTTGGCTGTCGCGCAGCTTTTGCAGATGAAAATACTATTGTTTCTGGTTGGGACTGGATTTCCAGGTATGCCACTGACCCTCTATCGTTTGTTCCATGCAAATCACTCAGCCACCTCGTTGGAAAAATGTCGGGGTGCTTCTTAAAGATAATCCACTCACTTGGGATCTACCATCTAAATGTCGTCCATGGTAGAAGCAACCCGGTCATCCGCAGCTGTTTTGAGCGTTGTTTCGTCCGAACTGGGACCAACGGAGAAACCAAGGGGTTTCTGAAGGGAAAAGGATCACGGAACACCTCAAAGGCGAACTCAGAATCCGCAGGCCAAAGGCGAACTGGTGAAGCACCAACCCATGGAAAGACCCTGTCTGGACGTCGGGTCGAAAATACTCTCGTCGTGTGGGGCTCGGTCGTGTAGGGCCGGGAATCCATCCGAACTGGGAAGGACCCTTTTGGATTGCAGAAGAAGGTCCTTCGAACGCCCTTGAAATCTCTGACCCACTGTGTTTCTATCATCCGACCCATGGGGCAGGGATATCGGACCACTATACTCTGACTTCAACCACCAATTGGTGAGAATTTGAACACATATATAGATTCTGCCCAGTCAAGCCCATCGATGCATTTGCGACTTCATTGCATGCTCTACTGTCATGCTACTGTTGAATCAGAAAGATCCACCACCCCTTCACGCTTCCACAAAAAAAAAAGTGAGAAGGACACCTCAATTACCAACAGAGGTTGAAGGACCCTATAGACTATCCCATAGGTACCGGGTCCTATAAGGTCACTTAACCTCTCTTGGTAGCTAGTACGTCCAGTGTTCTCGATGGGTATGATGGGTGGCCGGCCGGGTTTTTTCGCCACCTTCGTGACGGTCGGGGTGACCTGCCTCCCCACAACTGCAGGCGCAACCAGCTGCCACGCGCGCGGAGCGTGCGCAAGCGCCCCAAGCGTCGCAACCACGGTGGCCCAGGACCAAGATTCTGAGTGGCACAGTGAGCGAGTGGTGTGGCATCGTGGTGTGGCGGGTTTCTTTGGGAGTCCCCAAACCTGAGACCAATGCGTTTCCGCCCGCTCAGCGAGCACAGTCAAGACGCGAGCGATGGGGGGGATCCCCCAAGGTGGCACGACAGGCGACAGGCGACTCGGGTCACTTGGGTCAGACCTAAATGACCCGCGTCAACGGAGGACTCCCAGGGCATGGAGGTGGCGAGCCACCCTGGCGGTTCGGATCGAGCCCACCCCGTGTAGATGGAACGCCTCCCGCAGCATGGATCGATCTTGGAACGCCCATGAATCACTTTCAAAGGATTACAAACCATTCGGATGACCGAACCCCAGGGTCACCGGAGACCGAACGCCACCCATCCTTTTTCTTCTCGCCTCCAAGCAGCAAAGCAGTCTGACTGCAACTCGCGCTTGTTCTGCGACGCGAGTAGAAAAGGGAAGGGAAGTTTCGCTCCCCACACCAGGACCGGAACCCAGTCCGGTGGTTTTTGGAAACCTCCAAAAACCAGTCCAGTCTGACCCAGGTCCAAACCTGGTCTTTGACCTCCCTTCTGAACTGGTTTTGTATGACCATCTTCAGTCACATGAGGTTTTTTGACTTGTAGGGCCTCCGACACCTCTAAGAGGCTATGGGACACACCTCGAACGGAGGGTCGAACGGAGAGGACGCCACCCCCTTCGCCCCGCCGAGGCACACCGAGACATTCAGCTTCCCGGCGCAGAATTCCAGGCTTCCGATCAAGCTCCCTGCAGGATGGCGCTGCTGGGGCACCGGACTGGTTCCGGAGTCGAAGAGGTGAGGATCCCGAAAAAAGGGGGAAAAGAACGAGGGGCACGACAGAGGTCTGGAATCTGGCTGGTCATATTCAGATGGGAACGGTATTTCTCTGGATCCTGTTGTCATGGTTTCCTTTTTGCCCGCATGCGGAAAACACAGAACAAACAGCGGGCATTGTATGAGATTGCTCAAATGTAAGAATGCTTTCTTGTAAGGTTGTTTGAATCAATGCAGCTGTAACCATCCGTGTCTTTCACACCAACCGCCCCATACCGTATGGGAACCTTCGTTTTTTGGCACATGGCACAGGTTCTCCACCAGGCCAAGAAAGAAAAAAACCGCTAGCGCATCGGAACTGAAAGTGTTAAGATCCGACCGGGTCGGAATTCCAAAGTCGACCGGGTGCCAAAGAGATCCAAAGGATTCCGTAGATCAGCCAACCGCGAAGGTGCAAGCTCAGCACCGAACCCCACCGCGAATCGATGTCGCTGGCACCACCGGAGCCCGGTGGCACCTCCGTCGCCGCTGAAGCTGTTGCCGGTGTTGCTCAGGACAAACAGCTCGCCGGAGGCAGCGCCAAAGATCTTCTCGGGCGACAGGTGCAAATCCGAGCAACTGAGGATCGCTGCAAAGGTGGCCTCGCGAAGGAGGCGGGTGACTGGCGGGGTGCAACATATGGCGGATCATGGCGGCAAACTGGGCAAAACGCATCCTGGGTTTGGAGAGGTTGGTATGGGTTTGGTATGGGTATACCGTCTTGAAAAGCGGCAGAGTGGCACAACAAAAGAATCCAGCAATGTGGCTCCTTCAAGACATGTGTTCAAATAACTAAAGTTTATAGAGGTTTGTAGTCGATTTGTCCATTTGCCATCTGGGAATGGCTCAGAGCCAGAGAGGCTCCTTCAACATCTCAAAACGTATGCCATTCCAAACCCTTCCTTTCCATCACTCGCAACAAAGTCCAACCTTGCAGCGAATCAGGCCTCCAAAATAACAGGAGAGGCCCAAGAAGTCCAGTTGGACTGTATGTTGCCCAAGTAAAAGGAAATTCCATGGGCTCGGGTCACCCAGTCAATCGATGTTTTTGGAGTTCAATAGTCGACTGGGCTCCCAAGTTAGGGGAGCCACCAGGAGTAACCAGCCCCGGCGGCTGGGAGCTTGCTGGATGTCCGACGTCCGGCGACGACTCCAGGACTCGGTGCGGTCGGTACGGGCGGTGCGGGCGGTGCCGGGCAGCGAGGTCTTGTGGGTTCAACGACACTCGTGGTCAAGGTCCTGTTTGGTCAACAGCACCCTTCGTCTAGGTGGAAGACCTGTGGTTCCCTTCGTCCACGAAGCCACCGCCTTTTAGGGGTCCCCAAACAGGTGGAGGGTGGCCTGGTGTGTGAGTTCCTATTGAGTTCGCCTGCACATGGGGACCAGTTGTAGTTTAGCAGTATCATTTCGTCGGTTATCAGGTGCGGTTTCCACACACACCACACACTGTGGAAGAGGCGGTGAGACCGGACCCACACAGGCAAGACGCGGGTTGGACCCGCATTTCCCCCGCCGGTGCCTTCGGAGTGCAGCTGAGAGCATCTCGCTCGGTGCCTGCGTTGGGATGGAAGCGATGCTTGTTCCGGATGGGTCCGACTCCAACTCAGCTGAGGATGGAAGTTGGAAGGTGTTTATATGGTGGAAAGTCCTTCCAAAGAACCGAGTCCTTGGACTTGACATCACCCAACTCGTAGACGAGAAGTGTTGAAGTGTTTTCCGCACCACGGAGGAAAGGGTGGTGTGTGGGCACCCCTTGGTCCTATGATGTCCCCTGTTATGTTTCATCCCCTACAGGTCAGGTCGACCTGACCAAAACACTGGAGTTGGTCGTACAAAAACACTACTTGCTTGGAGGTCAGTCAGACCAGGAGACTGGACCTGGGTCTGGGTCAGGACGTATGTAGGGATCCAATCATGCGAAATCCGGTGGTGCTGGTTGGGGGCATTTCGTTCGTGGCATCTGTTCTTCAGCTCGTTTAGCACCAGACCAAGAGTCTTCGGTGTCTTTCGTACGGAATCCGAAAACTCCAAGACCACCTGCAGCTGGTGGGGCTGGTGGAGCTGGTGGGGGTAGCAACATCACCTCGCAACTCCACCTTGCTGATGATGAAGAAATGGCGAAAAGAATTCCTGCCCCTTTTGAAACACCCGAAACACCCTCCATTCTACTATGTTAGTCTATAGATGTCTATAGACTTTTATAGACCTCTTTTTGAGGTCTCTCGACGTCCTCCGTGCCCCACCCGAAGCGACTGGAGAAACCTCCGAAACCCCTTCACTCCCCACCTAGCGCAAACCGGGCATTGCCCTCTGTCAGCAGCTTCATGGCCAGGGCAGGGTTCCGTCCACTGTCGCTGTTGCTCCGGGGCGCGGGGGACCCGGGCTCGGCCTGGCGATGAACGAGACGCACGCACGCAGCGACGCGTCGCTCAAAACCGAGTCCCAACCAGAAACAAATGGTTGTTCCAATATGGCAACTGAGATCCTTTGACATGAGAAGTGGTTGGGAGTGGGGAAGCATCCATTTGTCTCTGGGGTTTTCTGGTGGCGATTGTATTTTAATAGGGTGAAGGTTCAGGAGATAGACTCTACTTCAGGGGCCCTTTTTTCGGGCCTCCAAGGGTCTCGCATGTCTTGGGTCCGGGTCCCCCCTGAAAGCTTGCTCGCCCTGGCCGTCACGAAACAGCGGTTCCCCTGTTGGGGCGGAGGGGAGGGCCGGTCGAAGCTCCCAAAAAGAGAGGTCCAATGACCAACTCTACTACCCTAAGAATCCGAGTCCGGGCTCGGGTCGGACCCGACACCGAAACGCAGGGGTGACCCGAACCAAACCCTATGTGTTGCTTCAGGCCCGGATTCTTAGGGTACTGAGTCGACCTCCCACAAAAAGAGCTAACTAACTCTACTACTCGATTTCTCGTCTGAGGTCTCTCTTGCACCAAAACCATCAAAACGGTCTCCCTTTTAGAGGAGATGTTTGTCAACCAACGGATCCTCACAAAAAAAGAGAACAAACCATCATCCACCAGCACCTTCATGTCGGGGTCACCTGGCTGGTTTCGCCCCAGCCCACTACTAGGGGACCTCCAGACAGGACACCCCCTTTTTCAGGTCCAGGCATGTGTTTCTGGTTCTTTGGGCTGCCGGCGGCGCGCTTGGACGATTGACCTCTTCGGTGGATGCCGCCCGTCTTCGCGATGTTTGGGACCGCAGTTGACTCCGAGTTTCGGGACCTAGCGGACCTATACCAGGGCCCCCTGTTTATGGTGTCTAATTATAGCTCCGAACAGAGGTGATTCGGGGTATCCACTAACCACCCCTGGCTCCGGGGGGGCCCTTTTTTGGTGCCTATCATTCCAGGTGCACCCCTGAGAAAAGGATGAAAGAACCGTGACTTCGTGCTTCACAACTTAAGAACCTACTTCAACCATCCCGTCTGGGTGTCCCTGGACTGCCCTAGAAAACCTGGATCTCCAGCCACAAGACAGGATGGTCCTGGTAGACCTAGAACCTGAATGACCTCTATTTTGGACCACCAACCACCCCAAATAATATGGCCTTTTCCTATCAAAACAGAGGTCAAATATGGTTATGTCTAGATTCCAGGGATGTATACAGTGTTCATGTGGATGCACAACGATGAACATGTCCCACCTTTCGTTCCATCTTCGTGTCGCCCCGGTCCAAAAGCCCCCCTTCTTCTTCCCGTGTCGTGCGCGCGCGGACGTGGTGCGCACCACGTCCGCGCGGGGTTTGCTTCGCCTGGTTCGTCGCCGGCACCGACAGGTGCTGACTGGGCTCGCTGAGCAAGAGTGCCTCGTTGGGCGACTTGCCTCGGTCGCGCCGAGAGAGACCGCACGTGGCGGAGAGACGAGGTGGCGCGCGGAGACCGACGGCAGAGCGGGTAGACGGCAGATCTATCTATCGGGCCTGCGCTTGTTTTTTGGGGGCATGGGGGGAATCTGACATGTTCACGGAGCTGCAGATACATCGGAAGCTTGCTATATAGGTACAGCACTTCTATGCACGACCATTTAAACATAGAAATGCATTGACTCTGATTGCTAGATTTCTTATTAACTCCATTGTAACTACTGTCTTGTCACGGCCTGCACCTCTTTTTCCACCTGGTACATGTTGTACTTGCTGCATGCGGTCTCTCAGTCGTGTCTGTCTTGACAGAAAAAGACGTCGTTGGAACGAGGGCATGGGTCGACCATGGCATTTCCCCGTTCAATCAGCGGGTTCAATCTGTCATGCATGGGTCGACCTCATGGTACGTCGGTTCCCAGTCAAAATAACCATAGCTCTGATATACGGATCAAGCATCCCCAGGCCCAGAGCATTCTGTTCATGTGAACAAGGTCCGATAAAGGGACAATGGACCCACCAAAGTCAAAGTCAAAATCACACAAATAAAGTAATTCTTAATCTTGATATCAGAACAGGAGCCCCAGCTGCGTGGAAGGGGGGCCCTTAGAACTCCTCCCCCAATCATCTTTCTTTGGGACAAGGGTTTTACATGGTCCAAACTCCAAACTCACAAGGATCTCACAGAGTCTCTTAGTCCCTTGTGATCTCGCCCTCCCATCAGTCCTCCAAGTCCTCCAAGTCTTCCAAGTGTTCTCTGTCCGACACGCTGTGGTGAGGATGAAAAGCCAGGGTGCCCAAGAATTCCACCCGTCCAGTCTTGTTGTCAAAGACGGCACCCAGCACTTCAACGTGACCCTTCTTCACCTGCGATTTTCGCACCAAGACCAAGACATCGAGGAAAACGTGTGTTCCAACGGACAAAAATCCAGGAAAACGGTCTAGTGGAGGTGCTTGTTCATATCTTTTCCCGATCAAAATGATCGTGAAGGTCCTCTTCTGGCCTAATCTTTACTTTAGGGTTGATTAATTAATTGGTTTTTGAGGTCTTCCAAGAGGTGGAACTGAGCTATTGATGAAACTCTCAACCCATAGGCTGCTCGGAATTCTTGCTTATCCTCCCTTGGGTCGCAGCTCACCGGAGAATCTCGTCACAGGATCTCACACGGCATCGAGTCAATCCAAAAAAAACAGCCAACGCCCAACAATGGTGCTACGTATCGGAACTCATGAGCTATAAGGAAATCCGGAGTCGAACGGTTGGTCAACAGGTCTTCTGCAATCATACACTCCTTGAAAGTATGGAAGTGGATGACAAGGCGGCCCCGCTTCCATGCCCTACTTCTCCACAATGTCTCGGTGGTAACCTCAACCTCATCCACCAAACCGTTCCGTGGGAGTCGAACTCCTTCGACTTCACTCCTTCGACTCCCGAAAAGCAGAGGAAAATCCCACCTTCTCCTGGATGGTCTTGGAGGACTGCAAAAGATAGTTGACTGTGCCTGGGTGCGACCGCGGTGCAACCGAAGCAGCTGAACAACCGCACTGACCAGGAACCGGCATCGGCAGCGTTCCTGGCGCCCGTGGTGTTGTTCTTCTCCGCTTTGCTCATATGAAGCCACGAGCAGAATCATGGGTAGTTCCACGGACTGAAAACAAATGTCTCATAGGAAAAGGACGATCCTTATAGTCCTTCGCACAAAAAAGAAGCCTTCCGCAAACCCCATGGGAGGCAGCAAAGTGATGGGTCACACCGATGGCGTCATGGAGCCTCCCGAGACTCCTGAAACTCCAACAGAGAACAGAGGTGAAGTGACCCTACTAACCTGGACCCTACTAGCCTGGGGTACGCATAGTCGTAGTCTGCTGCTGTATAGGGTTCCAAAGAAACATCGGACAGCACACAGAACAGCCTCACCCCGCTAGCCCTAAATTCTGAAGCACCACGTCAGGATTTAGTCGTCGTCTGACGGCTGAGCTTGGAAGACTGCTTGTGACGACAGGAAGACCACTAGTTTCAATCACCGGCCAGATCAAATCAAGTTAAAACAACTCAGAAGCCAACACTTCAATAAGCCAAACCATGGGGAAAAAACCTCGTGGTTTCTGTGCTCACAGTACACGCGTTCATGAAAACACCTGATAGTGTTTCAGATGGTCAAAACTCAGAACATCGACTGCACCTAAGTTGAGTCATCCATGGGAACAACCATAACTACCAGAGCCAGAGCCTTCCAAAGTCCGGTGGTTTCTGGACACCTCCGACACCTCAGACAGAGGCTATGGACATAGACACCCCGAACGGAGGGTCCTGGTTTTAGGGTCAAATGAGTCAGAAGGCAACCAAACAACACCAGCATCGACGGATCCTACGGATCCTACGACCTGGCATTTTTTCCTAAGTAGATGATTGCAATCCCTAGGGCTCCTGGCCCACCTCCGTTTCGAAGATGGGCCAGGAGTGGGTGGGTGCCATGGGGGTCTAACCACCGAACCTGAGGAGATGGGACAGGAGCGCTAGGGGTAATGTGATTCCCGAAACAGGACACCCCTTGAAGGTCCAGGTAGGAAAAACCAGGGATGAAAGAAACCATCCAGGAGTCCAGGAGTCCTCCTGTCTGGGTGTGCCTGGCTGGACGGTCACTCCCCCTGCACTGCTCTCCGGGATCCTCCCAGGTCGGAGGGTCCGGTCCAATCTCTCCCGAGCCGCGGAAGACGTTCACCTTCACCGCCGCCGCCACCAGCTCCGCGGCACGCGCCGCACGGGGGCCCAGTTCGGAGGCCGCCAGCTCCACAGAGCGGCTGAGCTCCAAGAGAAGGCCCTGAGCGCATCGTACACCGTGCCGCGCACGCCGAGGGGGAGACGCCGTGGAACCAAGGCGGTTGGTACGGTCGATCCCATTCAACTGAAAAACCACTAGCCAGGACCTTCAGTACGTGACCTTCACTTGAGATCCTAGTGGCTGAGGTCACGAATCGTCCCTGCTTAGAGGTCACTTAGAGACTCCAAAGAGGTCGGTCCGTGAGAGTCACTGTAGGGTGGGCGGACTGAGGACAACCATCGCGACGTGCCAAACACCTGAGAACGAGTATGACAGACTCGGCCTGTGTACAGACGAGCCTAGGCCTGAATTCGACCATTTTCCAAAGACCACCCTGGGAGGGCATGTGGTCCTCGGTATTCCTGCCCTTGGTATCCCCTTGGTGCTTCTTGGGCGAAGGGCACAGAATGGCTGTTGTGACCCAACTTCTGCACCCCCCCCCCCACCGATCTCGCGCGCGCGCACGAGAAAGCGCACGTCCGTGGAGGCCTCGCCTGGGCTCTTCTGCCCGAACTCTCTAAGTAGGTCCTGCCAAAAGCCCATCACGTGGTACGTGACGCGACAGGTCCGCAATTGAGATTTCTCTGTTTGCGACATGTCTAACCGGAGAGAAGGGTGTGGATTCCAGCGGCGCAACGCGGTGGAGACAAAGGATCCGGGCCGAGGCCACCCGGCTCTTCCATCTCATTGGATATATCGAAACGATTCAAAGCTTAAGCATCCCAACTTCGTACTCCCTGTATTAACCTATTACATCCCATCCACTTGCACCCCAAAAAGGTCAGATGAAGCAGGCCTCCCCAGGTTGAAAGATGTTGAGAACTGAAGCGAGGCGACTAGACCGAGGTGGAAAGAGAAGCTGCTTGGTGAAACAGACCTTTGACAGACAATGGATCCTCGAATTAGTGAGGAATCCACGAGCATCGATCCATGACTTGCTCATATATTCAGGACCTTCATGGACCTTCCATGACCTTCCATGACATGTGGTTTTTGGACACCTCTTAACCTGTAAGAGGCCGTTTATAGACACCACGAACGGAGGGTCGCCATAGAACCAGGTCAGAAAACACTGTCAGAAGGACCAGGGGTTCCAAAGGGTGGTTTGGTTCGTCCCATCCAGGGGCCGTGGATGTGACAGGGACACCTTTATCCTCCAAGTTCGGCACCCGTCGTGGTGACTCCTGGGACCTGCTGTCACCCCCGCCGAAGCCGTCTTTCAGACCTTCTCTTTAGCCTCCAACTGACCCACACACGTGCGTTCCGACTCTCCTGGTGGCTTCCTCAATGGCCTTGCAGTGGCTGTGGCCCAGCACCAAGATGAGCCTGGAGCCCAGCTGGGTGCAGCAGAATTCCACGCTCCCCATGATGCTGCCCTCGGCCTTGGTGAGAGTGTTTCGAGGCGAGAGCCTCGCGTCGTCCAGGCTCAAGCTGAGGGACCATAGAGGGGGGGGGGGGATTTTCCGTGTTGGTTTGGGTCGCTTGCAACAAGTCGGGTCGAGGGAGTCCAAACCAGCATTCCCCTTGCCAACCCATGCAACAACCTACGTTCCCCGGTTGCCACGGCAACAAAGGGCATCGTGACCGCTGATGATCCAACGGGATTGCCCATCCAAGTTCACCTCGAGGATCCTGTAGACGCTACTCGAGGGCAGAGCGGCAAGCAGCCTGTTGCTGGGGGCCCTTCCCGCCTTCCCAACCCTCATCTACAGACCTGGCAGTGAGGGTACTGGTACAGGCTAGGTCTTTGGACATTCTCCACGGTGAACAAGCAGAAGCACACAGAACTCCTCCCCCTCCGCTCCACCTCCGCCACATAAGACCGCTCCAGTTCACGTGAGTACACGCGTTCCCAGCGTTGCGGAGGGCAAAGATATCGCCCGGCATTGAGTCGAAGATGGTCTCTAAGGGCACCTGAGCTCAGCTGTGGGTCTGGCTGTGGGTCACCCTGGGAGAGACCTCCCCACCCATGAACAGAATGGACAACCGGGGAGGTCAACCTAGCAGGGTGAGTCGGCTCTGTGAGTCCTGCGCCCTCTCGGCCTGCTATTCGGCCTACTGGGCATCGCAGCGGAACATCGGTTCTGAAGAGAAGAGCGCAGCAGCTGGGACGGGGTTCTGACCTAAAGAAAGCAAACAAATATATACCAGCACCTGGACCTCAAAGGGGTCACCTGGCTGGTTTCGCCCCCACTACGTACAGGGACCTCGAGACAGGACACCCCTTGAAGGTCAGGTAGTATCAACCTTTTAGTGGATGTTTCTTTCATGTTGGAAGTTCGGTTCATGTTCTTCGCAATCCTCGGTTCCAATGTCTTCTCCACTTTTCTCCCCCGAGACAAGTCTTCAAACCTTACCATTCGCGCAAGCGCATTCGCGGAGTCTTGGGATCAACCGGTCTTCGCTCGCGAGGAATCCAACGAGACCTGGATCTTCCGGTGCAAAAGGTCTGCCTTTTCGTCGATCAAACCAGCCACCATTCAACACCTTTGTTGGAGTCCCATTCAGTGATCTGTTCCAAGCCCAAGTGACCTCAAACCAGGATATCAAAAGGTCACTTTGAAGAACTAGTCTGCCAAGTTTGGCAGAGATGTTGCATAGTTGGAAGATCCCAGGCTACCTCCGTTTCGATTCTGTGTGGTTGGGGTAGACCGGCTGTCTGTCCCTACCTTCGGATGTGGGACAGGAGCCCTATTCTAGAACAAGATGGTACAAATACCTCTTTTTATGGGGTCATGTCGCATCTTTGTTAGGGTTCTTGACGGTGGGTTCTCGTCCGGAACGAGCCCCTCGTAGTTCTCGCCGGGTTCCCACCGGGGCGGTCCGAGCCCGCAGGGCAGGGAGCGCTCCCAGCCAGGTCCGTTTCTTAGAAGACCGACCTGGCTGGGAACAAGACCGCCATGACCACCGCCTTGGCCCAAAAGAGTCCGGTCCGACCAACGGCACCGCGGAACGCGGGACGGCCCACGCGGGTTGCGTCGTGGGCACCGGGCAATCGGCGCAGCCGACGACCGCGGTGTGGGGGCCCTGAGAAAGGTCCAAGTGTTGTCGGGCCTCAGCGCAACGCGACCCGGGCTCGGAGCCCCAAGAAAATCAGACCGCCTGGAGCAGTCCACCAGCCTTGAAGACGAGACAAGCGGATAAGCCCTTCACTTTGTGAACCCACATTTGGCTGGGCAGACTAAGCGCTCATTGCTCTGTTGCGGTATGCTATATAATAACACTAAACATAATAACACAATCGTAATAGTAACAAAAATAAAGTACTGATAATAGTAATATAGCAATAACAATAACATACCTAGACCCTCCCGAGGCAATAATTTTTGCCGTAGGCTGTTGAGGCAATAATTTCTGCCGTAACTCATTTTTTCTGCCGTAGCTCAATCCCTGGAAAGTGAAAAAGCCGTCAGAGAAGTGAAAACGCCGTCACAAAAGAAGAATCGCCGTTTTGATTGATCTACCAAAGAGGATATTGTTTTGGTCCGTCCATACCCTGAAATTGCCTTCTCCTTTTTCACTTGTAAGTAGAGCTCATCGTTTTCAAGCCTCATGGTAGCACTTCTCAAGATGTTGCAGCCCTTGTCTAAGGTCTCGATTGACATCACGGCAGGATTTGTTCACATTTTGATCATGCAATGGCTGAAAGGATCGCTTGTGACATGTTGTGACAAGTCTTGCTGCCACCTTGAGTGACCCTATAGACAGGGTAAGGGAACGACGCCGTAAGTAGGGGGAAAACGCCGTAAGTACGGGGAAAAACGCCGTAAGTACGGGGAAAAACGCCGTAAGTACGGGTAAGAACGCCGTAACTTTAAACGCAAAATCTTCTGCAACGCCGCGCAAGAGGTCGAGTTACCCGCGAAAACCGACGAAAACCCAGCATGTGACACTTCCATCAGCTGCCCTTTCCACTTCACATGACTATGCGAGTTTGCTGATATAATAAGACGCCTTTTACGTTCAGTTGCCTTTCAAGCAAGACCCTACAATGTTTTCATACTCGCCTGCACTAAAACTAAAACGAAATGACTCTTTGAGGCGCATGGATGTGTGGACCAAAATTGCTGTCAACTGACCGAAGCTGCCGCAGTTCATCAAGAAACGCCGTCCCCATGAGATCAATATGGAAGAACGCCGCAGAACGGAAAAAGGCGACGTTTCATGAAAACGGCAGTTATTATTGCCGTAACGAAGTTCCAGGTATATATATATATACTGTACCTCCCTGAAGTCGCTCGTCAAACAAATATGGCGCTATGCGTGCCTTTTGTTGGTGTCTCGTGTCAATCGCCGAAATCGCCTCGACTGTCAAGGTGAAGACGGTCGAGGTGAAGACGGAGAAACGCTACATCCGGCTTCCAGCCGGAGATAGAAACCGGCTTCCGTCAGGAAGGGGGATTCATCCATAGGGAGAAAGACTGTTGAAAAGAATAGCTAGGAGCACCCTCACTGCCAGGTCGTTAGTTGAGGGGAAGGGCTCTAACAGGCCTCAAATGGTGAGACCTGGCTATGCCCAGGACCACCCGGGCTCCTACCCAGACCGAGTCAACCCACCGAGGGTTGCGGTGTGACCTTCTGGGACCCTTGACACGGGGGCGGCAAGCTTTGACGGCCATCTCTTAGACACCCCTCATGAGACTGGAGGATTGACACACATACGGGCATAAGTGGTTGAAAAGGGGTGAAGGTAGGTAATTATGCGGTGACATGGGAGTCTGGGATGCAGTATGCAGCAAGATCCCTAGGGATCCTCAGGTTCCGGTGGTATTCGACCCCCCAAGACCACCCACCCACCCCTGGCCCATTGAACCGAAACGGAGGTGGGCCGAACGGAGTTGTAGGGCATTAACATGACCTCTCCCGATCAATCGATCTCCACGGCCTTGGGTCGGGGAGGTCGGGGGGTCTCACTGGTGAAGCTGAAGCCGTCCGCCGCCGAGCGAAAAGCAGGCAAAGAGACCAGCACCTTCTGAGAAGGGGTCTCCGACTACCATACACTATAGTTTGTGGATCTTCCTTGTTTGCACCCTTTCAAACTCCAGGTATGACATGATCACTGCATTGAGTTGGTTCTCAGGCTGCATCAAGCGCTTCCCAGTCCTTTCGTCCCTTCCCAGTCCTTTCGTCCCTTCCCAGT